TTTTCACGGAGACGTTCACTCCGACTGTTCCAGACATGTTTCATTTCTCGGAGTTACGTTATAAAAAATAAGGACAAAAGCTGTTTCTAGCATTTTTGTCAGTTTTTTTAATTCTTGTTTCGAATATTTTAATGTCGAAATGGCGTCACACCGTTGAGTTTTCTGAACTCAACAACCGTAGGTGGGACCAGACCCTGCGCTGAGAAAACATCAGAAAGGCAAAAGAAAAAAAAAGAAAAACATGAGAAAGGCAAAAGAAAAAAAAAGAAACAGAGACCTCCCACCGGAAATCCCGGCAGAGTCCTTCCCAGCCATCAGATCACAAATGATGTGATGGTGGTAGTTGCATCAACAGCAAACAAAGTAACCGCCACATTTTCTGGAATAAACTCGACTTCTGTCAGCACTGATCCTGACACCCTCCATGTACTCCGTGATTGAATGAGGGCTCCACCCAATGAGATAATTGCACAACAGCAAGTAAAAATCTTCTATCCAGTGGGCCTATGGCCGACCCCACCCTCTTTTGGGGTTCGCCACACCCCCAACCGATTGAAAAGATTCTGGCCGAAAGCTTTCTTTGCACGGGGATGCCCAGTGGAGAGGAGGGGAACAAAGATCTCCTTACTTTTTAGGGTAATACCTGTAAAATACTGACCGTGGGATCACTCACGAGTAGCGCACGGCAGGATTTGGGTCACTCAACTAACTGCCCCACAAACTCGTTTCTATCCTATCCCGTTGCTAGTGGGACCTCGCCCCTGGGGCCAGGTCTCACTAGCAAAAAGCATCTGATCGAATTCCTGAATCTGGACGTGTTTTATGCAGAGATGCAGAAAAGCCATTCAATCCCGATTTCCTACACCTCTCTACAAACTCGTCCAGATTCAGGCATTCTATCCGATCCTCTTTGCTAGTGGGACCTCCCCCCTGGAGGCAGTTTCTGATTGGCTCTAAATTTCCCTCGGTCTTCTACCTGAACATTTCTGCGTTTTCTCGTTTTTCTCTTTTCTTGTTTGGGGAAATTGCATCTGTACCCCACTTAAAGATGGGAATACCCGCTATACCCAGTCCCGGCGCCCAACTCGCCTCTATACTATTGCTTTTCTCTTTTATTGTTTTGATATCTCGGTCTCACTTTCTCTAATAAGCATTTTTTCCCTTTGGAAGGCCGTGAGGCAAACTTTCCATTTTGCTTCCTTTTTTGCCGCGTGGGCTGTGGTGAACCTTCTGCCACGTGGACTGTCTATTCATTCTGTCACGTGCACTGTGTATTCATTCTGCCACGTTGACTGTTTATTCATTCTGACACGTGGACTGTGTATTCCTTCTGCCACAGTAATTCTGCCACGTGGACTGTCTATTCATTCTGCGCCGTTGACTGCATATTCCTTCTGCCACGTGGACTGTCTATCCGTTCTGCCACGTGGACTGTCTATTCATTCTTCCACGTGGACTGTGTACTCATTCTGCCAAGTCGACTGTGTATTCATTGTGCCACGTCCTTTTGCATTAGCACGAGTGGCATGTGTACCAGTCCACAGCATGACTGCGCACAATTCTGCCACGTGAGCTCCCTAATCTGCCACGTGGTCTTGAACAGTGTCCATTTTTTTTTTACCTTTTTTTTTTGCATTATTTTTAATTACTTTTTTTTTTTTCCCAATACTTTTGGACAGACAGAAAAAGTCGTTTCCATTTATAATATTGCGAAAAAATTGGGGACCCCTGCAAGCATAGCTACCTCGCGATGAAGGGGGATTGCATGCTGCCCCTTGCCCCAGTGGTTTTAGGGTGCAGAAAAAATTAAAAATCTTTCTTTTTTTTTTTTTTTCGACTCTCGGGCTCACTCTCTCACGGACGGCCTTTGATGATCTCATTCACCATTCCAGGCTTAACAGAATTCAGCGGCGAAAACTTTATTAATAAATTAAATAATAAATTAAACAATAAATTAAATAATAAATTAAATAAATAAATGTTCAATTTTTATTTTTCATTAAAACATAAGGAAAATGTTATGGCTTCGGACGACATTATAGGAAATAAGTCGAACGGAGAAGTTCTATGAAATTTTCTCTTTCCTTCGGAGAAGTTCTTTTACAAAAAAAAAAGAGTAGGATTTTTCCCAAACAAGGAAAAAATATATAAATTTTAAACCTCGAACGCTGTCCAACTCTTACCATTATTACTAAATAAAATAAAATCACAAAGCAAAAAACAAAACAAAACAAAAAAAAAACGATTACGGCAATTCACGATGTCATCCACAGTAGAGCGCATAATGCTTTCTACCGTCCTTCCCCCGAACACAACGCACCCTCATTTTGACTGTATCAGGACAGAAAAACAGTCCGCAAACATTCATTATCAGGGTGCATTTATGTTCGGCGGAAGACGGTAGTCCAATGGGAATATTACACCTTGAGGCCGTACTCATCCAGCGACTCTCCAGCATGTATCTGACCGGAAGAACAGTCAGGTTCCGCCCGCATAGTCCCAGTGAGACACCGCACCCCTCACTCATCAAAACAACAGAGAGTAGCCTTTTCCACTTCCCCCCCCCCCCTCTTCCTGTAATTCCGCCCTCCCTTGTCATCAAAATT